TTGCGTCGGTCCTGGCTCAGCACGCAAGCTTCGTGACCAGGCAGACAAGAACAACAATATACAAATCTCGCCAGAGGACGCAACGAAGCTTGAAGCCTCTGGCGCTGTTGTCTACGCTGAGGAATTCCTCGGTGGTAAGTGGATCGCTGCGGGACAGAACATTCTTGTTTTTGGTGGTGGAGATACTGCTGCTTCGGTAGTACAAACCGCACTCGCTCAGCAGAGAGAGGACGGACTCCAGATTGGCGAAGGCGTAGTGTGGGCTGCCCGTCCTGATCCCAGATCTCGTCCGTTGTCGACACAGATGGATTCAGACGGGAAGGAGACTCTCACTTGGTTTGGTAAGCTTGACAAGAAAATCAAGGACTACGTAGACGCGAATCCAGGCAAGAAGATACCACAGAAGCTTACCACGCATTACAATGCGCAGCAACAGAAATTTAAAAGCGACTCGCTGAAAGTTCTGCAGAGCAATATAACGATCCTGAAGAGTGTTCTCGGAAGCATTACTGATCCAGCAGAGTACTTCCAGAAGAAGGTCGAACTTCAGACCGCACAAAAGATGCTCGAGCAGACTCTGGCAATCTTCGATACGTTCGATGATGAGAAGCCACGCAACAAAGGTACCGCGAAGCAGGTTGTTCAAATCTCTATGGATATCCTTCGAGTTACGCCTACATTTGATGAAAAAGTACTTGTGACCTATGAGGATGGAAGCCAGCGTACCTACGACAAAGTTATCTGCTCAATCGGTCAGGATCCTACACAGACAGGTGGTCCTAAGAGATTAGTTGGTGATCTCCCACTTGTACTAATCATGGAAGGCGATCCATCCTACCCAGTCGGTCTACAGACACTGGATGGTGCAGTTCGTATCATGGGAGCCTCGGCATGGCATGTCAGGAACAATATCATGGACGGTGCTCATATGAAGGCATATGAGCAAGCGATCGACAGACGGTCAAAGGACACTGAGAACGGCATTTCTCCCGATTCATTCGGTGTACCCTGGGGCTTCGAGACCATGGGTGACAACCCTGCACGCGCGAATAAACTATTGAGTTAAGTAAAAGTGGGACCTAATACTCATATGTTTGTATGCATTTTTTCAAGTATTAAATGTCCTATTTTATTTGACCATGAAGAGTAAAAATAAGATAGAAGAATTATTTTTCCTAAAAATCGTACTGTGCATTTGTCTATGTATCTAATATAGACCTCGTTGAAAAAGAAAACGTTCCAAACAATCATCAAAGGCACATAGGCCAACTTTAGAAGATGTTTTCTTTCCTCTAAAGTTATTGCGTAAGTAGAAATAGTATAGAAATTATAATTAAATTCCTAAAAATTAGAAGATCTGAGATCTCTGACGGCAAATGATTATTAAAGCACTTTCATTCGCAATGTAGATTTTGAGCTGATGAATCGAATGGTGTAATTTATTTTATGATTAAGTTGAATATTACTCCATTATCTGATAGATAAAACAGAAGAATAATACGTATCGAAATTATTTGAAGTGAACTATCTATTCACTTCTCAGCGTGTATCCACTATTTCAATAGACATTTCTACAAACAATCAAATCTAATTTTGTGCTTTTAAAACTTTGAGGGCGAGGTTAAGTAGTAGTATATCATCACCGGTTTCGTCCTTGTTTTATAGAACCGCCTTTCCGACATTTTTCAAGAACGGCTTATCAAAAACTTTTGGAACTTCCAGAGCTGACAGATTTCGATGAGTAGAACAAAACTTGTCATAGACCCAAAATTTCCAAATGCTCCCCTTAGAAGATATTGGAGTTGCAAGAGCTAAAAATAATTCCTCTTATCCTCTTTTCTCAGCCGTTTTTTATCTCTTTCTGTTCGAATGAAAAACACCAAAATTCGGATAGCGCTCTCAAAAAGCTTCAAAAAATCATATATTTTTTTGACTAGAGCTTTTTTGTATACTCTGGCAAAAAAAATAAGTATTCTAAACACTTTCTACTATTAGTAGAAAACAGTTCCAACTCGATCAGATGTACTGTGCACGATAAAACAAAGGTAGTTCTTCACTTTTTTGTGAAAAAAACGTTTTTCAAAAATAGCGCAATAAAGTGATAATTTCGATGTTTTCCAGCGAAAGTCTACCATCTTTTCACGTTTTTCAACTTATATATTAATTCTTGAAATATGTTCAATCGACAGAGAACAATTCGCAATGAATATAGAACGCAAAAAACCAAAAATGAAAAATTTTTAAATTTTGGATGATGAAAAGAATCCCTTAAGCTCTTGGATGAATTGTCAAAAGTTAATGTACTTCGGCTGAAGTAAGTTGAACTCTAGAGTATTCAAATGTTCCTGGTGCATCCGCCAACGAGATTATCTGATTAAGTATGAAACCTTTTACGTGACATTTTAAATAAAACAAATTTTATATTAGTTTAATATAATAAATTGTTTTCTGTTTCTGAAAATAATACTATTGGACCAATGTCAACAGTATTACAGTGTCGAGTATCTTCGAATGATTTCCAGTGATATCCGAAAATCCTTTAGAAAAAAACATTAGTCTACATCAAGTAAGCACCAGCTTTTAAAAACGACAGAAACTGCTACTAAAAATTAATCTTAGTCTTAAAAGCCGATCAATGATAAAAACTATTCGGATGTCACAATACTTTTTTTCTACAGTATTGTTGGATCGAACCAATAAGATCGTCACAATTCATATAATTCTAATCAATTCTAATTTTTGTTGACGTTTGTGAAATATACATTTCCATGAATACAGTTTCGTGACTATCCAATAATCAAAAACTGAAGACTAAAATAAGTCTCTCTACATTAAGTTTTCTCTCGACATGATTCTTCCTCATTTATAAAACGTTATAAATTAACTTTTGAGAATTACACATGTACTTCGATAGACCCACAAATACTACAAACCAATTAATACTTCCTCAACGTCTTTACTCACAGATGTCGATCTCTACGTTTTTTATGACGAAATTCTCTGTTTTTCCAAAACAAACCTAATTGCATTCGCAGAAACTTTCATCCTAACAACAAAACGGATTTATTCGTTTTCTTTTCTGTTCTCTGTAGAAGTGTTGCTCTGGCAGATCAGCGTTACCGTTGATCCGCACGTTTTCGTCATCGCAACATGTATTTGATCAGAGTTGATCATTTACCTTTTGATAAATAGTAATAAGCAATTTTTCCCCAAGACGTGTGGCGCACGACATCTCCTTCGTTCTTACACATACCATGTATGAATGAGAGAACGCAAAAAGGTAATGTGTAGGAATAGGAGAAACGTCGTACTCTATATGTCAACGAGAAAAATTGCTTATTACAACTTACCAAGAGGTAAATAATCAAATCTGATCAAATACATGTTGCGATGATGAAAATGTGCGGATCAACGGTAACGCTGATCTGCTAGAGCAACATATTTAAAGCATTTTCGGAAGAAAGCTTTGCGGTGTCAGTATCAGTCATCACGTTTTCGTTATTACAATTCGTGTTTGATTATAGTTTTTTCTGATTATTAATCTTTCTTAAACTTTATTCTACCCATAAATAATTATAACTACAAATCATCCCTCTCCAGCCCTTTTTTTTCGTCGTACTTGGATAAAAATTAAGATAATATAAATTAAAAATGAATAACGCCTAGTGAATAAAATGAGTTTCATTGAAAGAAAACAAAAAAGAAATTATATTATTATTTTGATACTATGCTGTTTTGACTATGACCAGTCCAATCTCTAAGAATTTCTTCGCGAGGTTTAGCAAGTAGTTCATATTTATGTGCATCAAAATAATCACGTTGAGCCTGTATAAGATTGGGTAGTAAACGTTCTGAACAATAGCCATCGTAAAAAGTCAATGCAGTACTAAGGCAAGGTATCGGTGCTTTATGTCAACATGGTTGGTCATCGACTTTAGGAGCTATTTTCTTTAAATATTGGTTTAACATATTTTCATGCTTTTTACTGCCGTCTAGCATTATTGATGGGCCACAACGAGCTCCATCTTCATCACCTGAGACTCTAGTACCAATGAAAATAAAACCTGTTTTTTTTCCATTTCTGTAGCTCATCGCATTACGTCTTTATATTGTGAATTTCCACCATCAACAATAATATCACCTTCTTCAAGCAACGAACTCAATTTTTGTATAACATCATGAACAGGATTTCCAAATACAATTAACATCAAGTTTACTTGAAGTTCGATTGAAACAAGCAATTGAAAACTTATGGTGTACATATACTCTATAGGTATGTTACTTATTACAATCTATCATGAGGTAAATAATCAAGTTTGATCAAATGCATGTTGCGACGACGAAAACGTGCAACTCGGTGATAACAATGACTTCTCACAGCAACAACTTCCAAAAAAAGTCTTCTTCATGGAAAAACCACTCTGTTTATGTGTAGAACGCATAAATATAACAAAAAAATATCCATTGCTTGATGAGTGCTTGACATTTCAGACTACAAAAGTGCTGATCGAATATTCGCTGCAATCACACATTTTTATCCATGTTGGTGAATAAACGTAAACCAAAGATCAATTTCTTCCCTGTGTAATCTGATCTTCGCCATTGATGTCGATTATTGCTATTCAACAAACCTTCTAATTTTCCAAATATAGTATATTAGCATCGGCGCTTATACATAACTCAATTGAATTCTTATTTAACGATTATAGAAAAAAAAAGTTGCTCTGGCAGATCGTCGTTACCGTTGATCTGCACATTTTCATCATCGCAACGTGTATTTGATCAGAATGAATCATTTACCTCTTGGTAAGTTGTAATAAGCAATTTTTCTCGTCGATTTACAGAGCATGAAATTTCTTCTGTTCTTACACATTACATTTTTGCGTTCTCTCATTCATACATGGTATGTGAAAGGATTCATCAAATGTCGTGCGCCACATACTCACAAGATAAGTTGCTTATCAAGATATTAATTTATTCTCCATTTATTTTATTCGCTTATGGAAAGAATGCTTAAACCAATGAATGCTTCAAGTCAACAGCCACCCTTAGTATGTTACCCTGTCGATTCAAGAATTGTTTCCGATTTAATTCTTGATAATTTCAACAGCAATGATGAATTAAATATTGATGATGAGTTACTGAATATGTTAACTAATGAAATGTGTGAAGATCTACCAGAAATCACTCAATTTGATGACATTATACCACAATTTAATAATCGTACTGGATTACAAAACGAACAACAATCAGAAAAAACAATGTTAAATCATTTAGAATCTAATATGTTTATTCAAACTAACAATTCATTAACTGAATCAATAGTTATTAATGATGCAATTCTTGCACAAACTATTTCACAAGATTACAATCAATTATGCAATACTCCATTGATATCGGACAAATTAAAAGTTCATCCAAAGCAATCAACAACTGTGACTCCTATTAATTATATATTAGAACCAAATACTTTCATACAATGTAATACTCCACAAATACCATCATATGATTTAATATATAAAAGAGAATTTCTTCAAAATGATATTATAAAATCAAATAAAATTCAAATAAAATGTCAACCACGTTCAAAATTTCGTCCACGAACACTAAATGAAAGTAAAATTTCATCACACTATTTACGATGTGAAGATGATGATGAATTAGATTATCCTGCAATATATATACCTCAGATATGGGCTTGTCAATCAGATATAAATATTATTGAAGTTGCTCTTATGGATATTAATAAACAACCACATCCCTATGTTATTGATAATAAAATTAGTAAAAAATTATTCGATGATCAAACATTAATTTTCAAAGAGAATAAACCCAATGTATTGTATTTTCTTTTAACTAAAGAAGATTTTCTAAATGGTTATAAAAGTTTTATGATTGAATTAATTAAAAGTAAACAAGATGATATTATTACAAAAAAATTAATTCAATTAAGAAAACTTGATCAATCAATGCTTCGTTTTATACGAATTTATCGTGATGAATATGGTAACTATCAACGAGATATTAATGGTGAAGAATATTCTTGTATAATGACAGAAAGTTATGGTGATGTTACTGTTGAGCATATAGGTCCACGATATGGTCCAATGTGTGGACAATCGATGATATTTATTGTTCTTAAAGGGCGTATCATTAAAGATGATTTATCGATTATTGTTTGTGAACAAACAACTAAATGGTCTCAGAAAATAAAAAAATTTATCTTGAATGGTAATGTCATTTATTTTGCTATGCCTGCTTTTCCATATCTATGTATGAATAATATAAAAGCAAGTATCAATATCTATTATAAAAATCAACAATTTCATGAATCAACTTATCTCTATATGAACTTCGTAGACGAAGAACTTGTCGATCTTAATTTGAATGACAGAATTTCAGATATTAATGATTTTATAACAAAAAAGAAACTTAATCATGATATTGTCAATAATACATTTTCTATGCCATTGACTTCGCAAAAAATCTCGAAAAACAAAGCTAGAAAACGTTTAAATAGTAAACAAATTAGCTAAAAACATGTATGAACAGATATTCATTCGAAACATTTCATGTTTTGGTTAGATAGTAAAACATGTAATTTGATTTCGAGTTGAAACATTCAAAAAAAGAATTTCATTTTTTTTTGTCTTTTTTAACTTTTGTTTTTATATGCATTTGTTAATATATCAGTTCTTGTAAAAAAAAAACACTGATCATATACACGTTGTAATGACGAAAACGTGCACGTTGGTAACAACACTAACCTGTCAGAGCAACATTTGCTCAAAAACCAAAGAAATAGCACCAGTGGTGCATCGATGATTCGATTTGGACAGAGTTGTGTATCATAGTGACAAAGTGTATGTGGACAATACATTACTAATGTTCGATTTCTTGGAACGGAAGCTAACCATGTGTAAAAATAATACGATCTGTCGTTTCTTTCATAGGAGACTGTAATCAGACATGAAGAAGATGGAGTTCAATGACGTTCGTGAAATTTTTATGGATAAAGTTTTTTCTTCATCGTATCTCAAGTTTTTGCGATTTATTTCGAGC